GGAATTACCATCTCTGCCGAAGATATGAAGAAACGTACAGAAAACGAAAAGCATAAAATGATAATCGATTCTGTTAGTGGAGCATTTGTGTAAGTGATAAACGCAAAAATCAATATTTTATGAGAAAAGAAAATTATTGCTTGGTTTAGAAAAGCAGATGAAGAAAAAGCACGTTGGAAGGAACGACGAGATGCCGAAACAGAGCGAGAACTGGCCAGAATCGAGGCGGAAAAACCGTATAAGAAGAAAGTTGTGGCTCCGCAGCCAAAGAAGGTAAGCTTTCTTTCTTAGCATTTCTAGGAGTCGAACAATTGGTTTTATTTCCAGGAACAAGAAAAACCTTCAGAGCCAAAACGAACTGTGCGGAAAATCGTCAAAGATAAGCAAGCCACACCCGCTGCTGTCAAGGTTCCCACTTTCGCCATGGTACCTAAACCATTGCAAGTTCCACCAAAAGTGGCAGAAACTCCTCCTGCTGCCCCAACTGCTACACCTTCAACCAAGGTAGCACCAGCTGCTAATAAAGCACCATCAGCAGCAGCTCCTGCTGCCCCAGTGATGAGCTTCGCTTTTGTACCCAAATTGAAATCACCTCCTCCAAAAGCCGCAGCTGCTCCTGCAGCTCCTTCTGTTGGCGCTCCTCAGGCTAACTTGCCCTTAGCCCAACAAAAAATTCAACCTGCAAGCATGGAAAAGCCAAAGATTCCAAAGAACGATAATGTTATCAATGAGGACACCTACGACTTGTTTGAGGTAATTCATAAATCTCTCTTATTATCTTCCAAAACTCTGAAATGTAGGCTGCAACCAACGTGGCAACACGACGGCGCAAGAGCCTCGCGGAGTTGAAAGCACGCAAAGAATTACAGACAAAAAGCGTCCCAGAGCCGAATGAGGTAAGACACAAGAAAATTTCTTCGAAAAAGTACATACCTTTGTCATCTACAACGCTCATATATACAGAAGTATTGCTCAAAGATCTATTTCAAGTAACATTTTTCTATCAATTCGATAATTGAATTAGATAAGACTCGGA